ACAAGAGAAGCAAAGGACCCCTCAATGATCACTTACATTGTCAACGAATCGCAAGCAACAGATAGGATGGCCCCAATCACCTTCTCCCAAGAAGACTCAAAGGGGGTTCACCACCCCCATTGTGATGCATTGGTTGTAAGAGCCATAGTGGCTAGAAACGGATTAAAACGCATGCTCGTTGACAATGGCAATTCCGTGAACATATTGTTCGACTCCACTTTTGACAAAATGCAAATTGAACATGGGTTAATCCCTATGACCGACCCACTATTCGGATTCACTGGGGACAACATCATCCCACGAGGGCGGATCACCCTGCCTGTTGAAATGGGTTCGGCATCCCTAGTCGCCCAGCACTTCATGGAATTTCTGGTGGTAGATCACAGATCGGCTTATCATGGAGTATTGGGCAAACCCGCTCTGAAAGACCTTTGGGCTGTCACGTCCATCCACTACTTGTGCATGAAATTTCCAATCGAACATGGGATTGCTACGGTCCGAGGCGATCAGATGGGCTCCAGGGCATGCTACTTAAACTCGCTGCGAAAGTTCGAGCCCCGAATTGTTAATGTAATCCTAACTGAGGTACCCGCTGAAGTCAGTACGGACATGGAAATGCTCGACGCCCCTGAACAAGGGCATAACTCTGAATAAGGGGGAGACGTCGACATGGAAGAGGTCCCTGAACAAGGACACCCTCTTGATGAGTTAGATCCCCAAATAATTGATTATGAACCAAATGCGACCCCAATGGAAGAATTGGAGACTTTCCTTGTCAACCCAGAAGACCCCAGTCAGGTCTTACGTATAGGAAAATCATTGTTACCTGAAGCAAAAGCAGAGATGATACGCTTCCTGAAAGGGAACCTGGATGTCTTCGCATGGAAACATGAAGATATGGTGGGAATAGATCCTAGGATCAGTTGCCATCACCTTAACATCAACCCCTCCTATGCCCCCCATAGACAGAAGAGTCGTGCCCTCAATCCGAAAAGGTACGAGGCACTGAATGATGAAGTAAACAAACTTAGCTGCAGTGGTTTCATAAGAGAGGTCATCTATCCAAGGTGGATATCCAATGCGGTCATGGTGAAAAAGCCCAGCGAAAAGTGGAGGGTATGTGTGGACTTCACGAATCTAAATAAGGCATGTCCCAAAGACAGCTTCCCACTTCCAAGAACAGATCAACTTGTGGACTCTACTGCTAGACATGAACTACTGAGTTTCATGGATGCATACTCGGGGTATAACCAGATACCCATGTTCCGACCTAATGAGGAAGCTACATCGTTCATTACGGACAGGGGTCTGTATTGCTACAAAGTTATGCCCTTCGGATTGAAGAATGCCGGAGCTACATATTAGAGGTTGATCAACATGATGTTTGCCGTACTCATTGGCAAAACCATGGAGGTCTACGTGGATGACATGCTGGTCAAAAGCCTCCAGGCAGCCGAACACGTGAGTCAACTCGACCAAACTTTTCAGATACTTAGAAAGTATAATATGAAATTGAATCCCCTCAAGTGCACCTTTAGAGTGGCATCGGGCCAGTTCTTGGGGTATATTGTAAATTAGAGAGGAATTGAGGTGAATCCAGTGAAAGTAACGGCCTTGCTAGAAATGAGGTCACCTCAGAAACTGAAGGAGGTCCAAAGTCTCAACGGTCGGATAGCCGCACTCAGTCGCTTCATCTCCAGAGCCACAGATAAAAGCTTGCCTTTCTTCAATGTGCTGAAGCAAGGAAAGAAATTCCAATGGACTTCGGAGTGTGAATAAGCCTTCTCTGAAAAAGCACCTTGGAGAGGCGCCCCTCTTGTCAAAACCTCAACCGGATGAATCTCTACTGCTGTATCTAGCGATTTCGGACGTGGCGGTCAGCGCAGTCCTAATCAGGAAAGAAAATGAGCGCCAATTGCCAGTGTACTACATCAGCAAAGCACTTCTCCCAGCTGAAATAAGCTACCCAGACATGGAAAAACTGGCACCCGCCCGTATCACAGCCTTAAGAAAGCTGAGGCTATACTTCCAAGCCCACTCAATACAAGCTCTCACCAATTTCCCACTAAAGCAGGTGATGCAGAAAACAGACGCATTAGGACAGCTGCTAAAATGGGCAATCGAGCTCAGTGAGTTCGATCTAACGTTCCGACCTCGACACGCCATCAAGGGCCAGGCCCTTGCTGATTTTATGGTTGAATTTGCCAAAGTCCCAGAAATGGAGGCGATAATGGAACCAGCCAAGCCCCCCACATGGAAACTGTTCGTAGACGGGTCCTCAGGAGAGGCGGGCGCAGGGGCAGGGATCGTATTGAAAAGCTCGGAAGGCCACAAGCTAAATTGTGCAGTAAGGTTCGGCTTCAAAGCCTCGAACAACGCCGCCAAATACGAGGCCCTTCTGGCGGGTCTTAGACTCGCTAAGGAGATGCGGATCAGGAGGCTCCCGACAAGCAGTGACTCTCAGCTTATAGTAAATCAGGTCAATGGAAACTTCACAGCCAAAGATGGTAACATGATTGCGTACTTGAAGTTGGTTCTGGACATAATTCCTCATTTTGAAAGGTTCGAACTGACTCAAGTTCCCCATCTAGAGAATGCACATGCAGACGCCCTCTCAAAATTGGCCAGCAGCATGGACTCAGAGTTGCTAAACATCGTCCCTATTGAGCACTTATCAAAGCCCTCAACCTCCGAAGGTGAAGAGATATTATAGATAGAAGGCACCCCATTATGGATGCAGCCCATCATCGCCTACCTGAAGGAGCAAACACTGCTTGCTTCCAGAGGCTAGGTGAGGAAGTTAAGAAGAAGGGCTGCACACTTTGTCCTGCAAGAAGATACCCTTTACAAGAGAGGCTTCGCCTCGCCGCTTCTTTGATGCGTAGGAGGCGAAGAGGCCACATACATACTCAGGGAAATCCATGAAGGAATCTACGGAAATCACTCCGGAGGAACGGCTCTGGCACACAAGGTTCTCTGTCAAAGCTACTTCTGGCCGACCCTGAAAAGGGATGCTTGCTAGTTTGTCCAAAAATGTGACAAGTGCCAGCGCTTTTAGAACATACAAAGACAGCCTGCTCAGAGCCTCTCCGTAGTAACCAGCCCTTGGCCGTTTGCCAAGTGGGGCATTGACTTCATTGGTCCACTTCCAAAAGGGAGAGGAAGTGCAACTTTCGCCATTGTCGCCATTAACTACTTCACTAAGTAGGTCAAGGTTGAACCCCTTGCCAGAATTATCGAGGCTAATACTACCAAATTCGTTTGGAAAAACATCATTTGTAGATTCGGCATTCCCCACTCTTTAGTGCCTGATAATGGAAGACAGTTCGACATCAGGAAGATGCAAGACTTATGCCACGAACTGGGCATAAAGAAGGACTTCTTGACACCTCATCACCCCCAAGCGAATGGGCAAGTTGAAGCAGTGAACAAGACTATCAAACACACCCTGAAAAGGAAACTTGATACCTCAAAGGGGGCCTAGGTTGACGAACTCTCCCACGTCCTCTAGGCTATCAGGACTTCTTGCTAGACTGCAACCGGTGAAACCCCATTTTCCATGACCTACGGAGCCAAGGCCATGAGTCCGATCGAAGTCGAGGTCCCATCACATCGACATATACATTTCAATGAGATCAGAAACGACAAAGCTCGAATAAGCGAACTACACCTCCTCAAGGAAAGGAGAGATACCTCCCAAGTGAACTTGGCAAAATATCATCGAAAGATGACCCGCTATTACAACTCCAAAGTCAGAAACAGAACTCTTCGCCTAGGCGACCTCGTCCTCAGAAGAGTCTTCCAATCTTCAAAACCAATCGGGTTAGGAGTGTTTTGCCCGAACTGGGAAGGCCCTTACTGCATCCGCAGGGAATCCAATACTGGTACCTTCGAAATGGAAGATATGGCAGGAAAGGCGCTGCCTCATCAGTGGAACATCGAACACTTGAGGAAGTACTATCAATGATGAGACTTTGTTCCGATCTGATCTCAGTATGTTATAATGAATCGATTGTTCTGATCTGATCTCAATTTTAAAATTCCCTAAGTGCTGGAATTGCCTTAGTAAAGGGTGGTGTAATTTATCTTAAGTAATGAAGCTTCGTTTTTGAGTCACATCAGTTAGTAAATAGTTTCCTCAGTCCTTCAGTAGGTTCATTTAAGCGATCCGATCTTCAATTATTAGCTGATTAACGTTAAGGGGCTCTTCATGTTTGCTTAAGTGTTCCGCTTCATATTAACTTAAGTGGTCCGATCTCAAATTGTTAACAGTTATTAACTGGTTATTCTCATGAGACAATTAGTCTGACGCTTGTCATTCATACAAGTATGAACAGATAGAAAAGATAAAAAAGCAGAAGCGCAAATACTTAGCAAAAATTTCATTTCATTGAATAAATTTAAGTACAAGGAAGCCAAAGCCATTACAAAAGGTAACCCTACTCTGCTGGAGGGACTTCTACATTAGCCGCCTCCGGGGCCTCCGGAGCCTCCTCGCCAAGCCTATCAGGCCTACCTCCAGTTGGCCCCCCGAACTCTGCCTCCAATGAAGAGATGTCCAGAGTGGGGTGCACCTCCTTCAACTCCTCCCTCAAAGAGGCAATCTCCTCTGACTGAGCCTCTGCCTTCTGCCTCAGCTCCGCCTTCTCTTTGTTGAAGGCCTCTAGAGCCTTGGTGGCGAGCTTGTGGTGCTCATTGGCGTGATCAAGCCATCGAGTCACAGCAGCCACTTGGCACTCCACCTCATACAACTCCTTCTTCAGCCATTCCACTTCTGCTTTAGCGACAGTTAGCTGGGCCCTCTTTCGCCTGTGTGGCCTTGGCCTAGGCCACTCGTACAGCATCCCCATAGTGCATCGCCTTCTCGAGGCGCTTGGCGAGGTCCTCCCTCTTAAAGTTTAGATCCTTCACCAAGCCCTCAAGCTGGATGCTTGTACTCAGGGCCCGAGCCACGCAGGCACTATTCGCAGCCACCAAATCCTCAGTCGTGTAGGAGGCGGTGTGATCCCTCCACTCTTCTGTCTAGTATTTGCTGTGGACCACCACCACCATAGCTGTTTCTGGAGGAAGAGCATCCAACACTTCCCTTACGAGCTCGTCATGATTGGTGCCCAGAAAGTCGACCTCCTTAGAGGGATGGGGCTTCTTCCTCTTCTGCTGCCCCGGCACTTGATCAATTGGCACTGCAGCGAGGGGTATTGTGGTTGGGGCAGTGGCAGGCTCAGTTGGGGTGGGCCTCTTCTCCCGAATGGCCACCCCGGTGGGAATTGTGGTCTGCCTCAGAGCAGGGGGTGGCCTCGCCACAGTTAGGCGTTTTGGAGGGGCGGTACTCTTCTTGCCCTTCCTCCGAAGGTCAGCCTCCGGGTTCTCTGGTACCTTCTCCTCCGTCAGAGGCTGAAGCCTCTTACTAGCTTCCACCAAATCCTCCATTCGCTTTTTGTACGTGGAGGAGGAGGCCTTCAATGTCTGTGCCTCTGCTATCATCTTCTGGATGGTCTTAAAGTCAGGGCGCACCGGCATCTTCTTATTAAAGTTGTCTGCAAAGAGCGAATAAGGAATTAGTACAAGTCTTGAGAGTTCGGAATAAAAAGCAAAGACTTTGGTCCAGTTACCTTGGGATGCCATCAGATCGTGAGTAATGAAGTGGATGTTCTTTCGGATCAGCCTATGGTGAGACCTCTTCTTTTGAGGCAGCTGATAAATGATGCAGATGGTTTCAAAGTCCTCAGATGACAGCTCGCACCAAGGAAGAGCACCTACAAAGGAAATGTAAATGTTAGGCACAATTCGAACCGAAGAGAAATACAAGGAAAAATAACTACTATACTCATTAAGTGTTGAATACTTCGTCAGGACCATAAGAGGCGCCAGGGGGTCCCCCTCCATCGTGTCCCATCGCCTTGCGGTCCAGCACCACGAGCTCTTCCATTTTTTGATGGAGCTCGACAAATCGACCACGAATGGAGTGTGGGAACCCCATGAAGTAAGGTAATACCATCCCCGGGTCTTATCCCCTCGACATTAACCTAAGGTATATAAAGGGTCTGGAAGACGGAGAGGGGCATCTCCACCCCTAATGACGCCTCTTTCCACAACATCCAGGAGCCCACCATTTGGATCCAAGAGTTCGGATTGAGCTACGTCGGGGCTAGCCCATAGGATCTAAGCACCACCCTAAAGAATAGGTGAACTGGCAGCCTAAGTCTGGCCCTAAGGATCGCCTCGCTAATGGCCACACAGCCCGGTCTAGGGTAGCAGGCTCTCTCTTCCAGCCCGGGGAGGATCAAATCTATGCTATCAGGGATCCTATACTCTGTCCTAAGTCTCCCCAGGTCGGCCTCTCTTAATTTAGATGGGTAGTTCGATGCCCCCAATGCACAGACGTATCTGCTAGGCTATCCGGTCGCTTCCATATATTTTCCCCCCTATTGTTGCCCCAGCTATTTCTGAGGAGGTCGCCACAACGGGCTCGTCCACCCTCACTAGTCCTAACCCCCTCCCCGAAACCAAAACTTCCCTCCGAGGCCATTCTTTCAAAATTTAAAAGCTCTAAAAGGTATTGAAACTTACGAGTTTGAAGGTTTTCCTAGTCGGAAATGGTGTAAGGTCGCCGGAAGTTCAATTTTCTTGCCGAAATTGCTTAGAAAACGCTGGAAATCGCCAAATGATTTGAGAGCAAAGTGACTTGTTTGTTTCGCAAAGGTAGAAAGCCTGAGAAAACCTCAAAGTCCTCCTTTTATAGAAAGACAAATCCGATCTCCACCGTCGAATTCAAATGCGATCAATCTAAGCCGTTCATCGCATCTTTAATCTAGGCCGTTGAAATGAAACGCCAGATTTGATCTACGCCCAAGATGTCGCTATGACTTTCACGCTTGCTTAAAACGCATCACCTTGCTTACAACCAGCCGTCAATAATAATAAGTAGCCGCAGCAGCCTTTTAAGAGAATGGGCATGGCACCCAACTATCACCTTGAAAACACGCAACAGTTGTTAAATCATTTGACGTTTGAATCGCCTCGGATAGAGCTCCTCACTCAACTTTACAAAGCTTGGACGCACCTGACGCGAAGCCCCCTGTGGGTCCTCACCTCGGATGCTGCATTCCCTCCCATGCTTTACAAAGTTTTAGCCATCTTCGAACGCGTCGACCCTGTGGGTCAGCGCACTAGTGGCAGATGAGCTCCTCACTCAACTTTACAAAGTTTGGACGCACCTGACGCAAAGCCCCCTGTGGATCCTCACCTCGGATGCTGCGTTTCCTCCCATGCTTTACAAAGTTTTAGCCATCTCCCAGCACGTCGGTCTTGTGGGCCAACGCACCATATTTACGAAGCTTCGACGTACCTGACGCAAAGTCCCATGTGAGTTTACCGCCTCGGACACTGCGCACAGTAACGAAACTTTGGCACATTTGCCTAGGATCATAACCTTGATTGCTGTAAAAGATCAACCCCCAAGCTCTCACAAGTCGAAGTCGCGGTCGGGGTCAGGAAAGCAAGTTCACCCATAATATAAATATTCATACCTGGACTTGGGGGACCACTGTTACGCTCCAATCTGATACGCCTCGAAACGCTCACCACCATATATTCTGACCTGATAAAGACCCGTCCGAAGTGTTTCCGAAGTGATATCAGCAATGCCTGCAACCTAGTAATACTGAACTGACCAAAAGTACCTTGCCCGAGGTCAAGGCCAAGTGGACCCCAGTTAGAAGATCCGCCGCCAATTTTAGAAAGTGATTTGTGCCAAGATCTTTCCTGCACCTAAGGTTTAAATTGATTCGACGTCTCCATGAGGCTAGTTGATGTGACTTATCAACTTTATGTCAATTCAACTCAGAAGAAACAAGTTGTCTGCCCACTCTACAGACGCGGCTGATTGACGCCTATGAGCGGACGCCTCATACCGTCAGATGTATACACGCATCCTACATCCAACGGCTCATACCACCTATAAATACCCCAAGGTTTGGCAAGAGGCAGAGGTAATGAAACTCTTACTACATAGCACTCCATAGCAAGCTTATATATTTTCTCCTCCCCCTTTATCATTGATTTGCACAGCCCCAGGGTACTGTTCTGATCACTTAAACCTGACTTGAACGTCGGAATGTATACGGCCGCTACCACCCTCGCTGGTCCCGGCCGTGTGCGTCTGACCATTCGCTGATTGTGCGCAGGGAGGAATACGTGGAGTAGCTCTCGGTTGGCCACGTGGAAGGACCAATTTTCTAGGTCAACAATTTCCTTTATCATCACAAGAATAAAATTGTTGGCATCGATTCAACAATTCAATGCAAGTGTCTAAGAAAAATAGATCACTAAGAAATAACTTATGACAAACAATTCAATTGTTTATTTTTTGAATAAACTGATTTTCACGTCCACATTCATAAAATGTCCAATACCGAAGAGTCCAGTTTTGCATTATCTCAATATGCACAAGGATTAATTAATATGCAAATTATGGACCATTTAGTCAATAAGACTGCGACTTAATTCTGCACAAACAATAGAATACCCGTGTCTTCCTTTTTCTGATGTAAAATCCCAGTAACTTTGATAATAAGTTCTAAACAATAGTTAGAGTATAAGATGCACAACGAACACTAAAATTCATCTTAAGATTGTTGAAAAATTATACCGATATTGTGCATATTATATTCATAAAAAAAATTTACCGTTTATGTTCACAAAATCGAAATGTAATTTCAATTTACCGAAATGGATTTGAAGAGCAAAACAATAATCGTTACTGAATCCAAATGCATGGATATGAATTCATCCCTTTTGATTTTTGAATGAAAGTAAGTTATTCTTTGGATCGAATCTTGCACCATGAACATAAAAATAATGTTAAACATTTTCTGAAATCAAAGCATGATTAAAAGAAATCAGAAAATGAGGAAAGAAAATGCAAGTAATAGATTGGCCGAGGCAAATGTTTCATACTTTTTTCTTAAGATAAATTTGCCTTGTATCGGTGCTGACAATTTTTCGGCAACCATCTCCCAAAATACAACGATCACGTCAAGCTATAGGAGCACTCCAAATGACTTTGACTAACAAACTCGAAAAGAATTCCCTCTCTAACATAATCATGATTTGGATGCAAGATATAATCAATTCTACAAAGTATTTGATGCAATATGACATGTAATGAATAATATGGAGTTACAAATGAACATCCAAGAAGGTCCTATATAAAGAAGTGAAGGGACACACCCTAAATTCAGCATTTTTCATGAAAAGTTGCGACCCAATTGTCGCTAGCTTTTCGTAATTCAGCATTTTTATGAAAAATTGCAACCCAATTGTCGCTAACTTTTTGTTGACCCATCGCTTGAGCGACGGTCTTACCTGTTGAATTTCGATTTCCTTCAAATATTGGACCAAATTTCTCATTCATACAAATTCTTCTTCAATCAATTTCCAACAAAAATAACTTAAAATCCGATCAATGTCCCCTAATTGCTTGCTCAAATATGCAATGAACAATTAATTCAAAATAAATAAGCATCATCTATTAATAAGCACAAAAAATGTCATAAAATGTAGTTATGTTCTAACACTATAGGGCGCCTATTCCAACAAAAATTCCACATCGGTTGAATATCGAAATATAGATTAATATATAAGTTGGACTATTCATTTTAAAAAGAAGATCTTTTAAGATGGAATCCTAAATCTTAATAGTTAAGAACATATTTCCTCTCTCTATGTACATTAATGGAAAACTAAGAGTATTATATACGGTGCATTTTACATGGTTTTCTTCATCAAAGACGAAGTATCATCAATTCCAAACTTGCCAATATTTCATTGTTCAAAAAAAAAAAAAAATCATAAAGTAGACGATTGTTAATTCTTCCTATTGTTGAAGTTATTATAAACATACTTTATTCTTCGGAAAAATACTAACACACAAACCCATCTTAAAGTGTGAGATCACTTCAATGCGTACTTTGTGATTCCTGGAAAATGTGTGTTCATAAAGTACTCATCCCATTGAATGCACTTTGGATCAAAATTGAACACCTCGCTTCCTCTAATTGTTGTTCGTAGATTTTCAGTTGTAGTATCATCAAAACTGCAAATAAAATGGAACAATAAAATCGTCTTCAGAAAGTTGCACCACAAAATGCTATATTAAGATCAACGATGAGCTCAAGATGTTAATGGAAACAAGAAAAATGTAATTTCCTTCAAATTGATTTCTTAAAATTTGTCAATCCACTAGTTGCTCAAAGTTTAATACTTGTTTTGTAATAATTACTTCTAGTTTGCATCACATTTCAAAATTTGAGCAACCAAGTGTTGATTGACTTATATAGAAAGAAATTACCAAAAAAAGAACGTAGATACGTACGTTCCGTGAAAGAACAAGTATGGTTTGTATAGTTCTGCTAAACGTATCGAATAATCGATTCTTCGTCTTGCATTGGCATGTAAGTTTCTGAAATGGTTGCAAAGTATCATGTTCACCAACTTTAACATCTATGAGGCATCGGAAAAAAAATAGATAGTTATATATGGCATTATTATAATAACCTGTGTGTTGAAAACATAATTTAAACGAGTACGCGTAATTCCACCGCTTAAAACTTCAAGTGACATCCATTCTTGAATGAAAAACAAGAAAGCAATATATTGGTAACTAAAAAAATAATAATAATAATAATAATAATAATAATAATAATTCCAGAGTAATCTAAACTTGTTATCAGGACACAACAATAAATTCACCCAAAAGGCAATGGAAGCCCGCAATTGTTTCCTAAACTAGGAGCATCTTTATTGCATCCTTTGAATTACTATCCTGATGATACATAAGTTGAGAAACTTTGAATTTAATGACATTAATGTATCATGAATAGACATCAATGTTCAAAGTTACTTCAATAAAAGCATTTTCAAGAGATTCTCTATTTTTAAAGAGCATATTCTATTAGTTGAAGAGTATCTATAAACTTACTAAGTTAAAATTTTAAAATACTCAAACAAACTCTTCATATTTAATATTAATTTTACTACTTCAAAAAAATATTTATTATTTTTCTCGATCTTTTATATTAACTAGCTTTTTTTAGATTATTTTATTATTTTCCTACATTAAAAATTGAAACACTTTGAATACATCTAATTATAAAGAATGAGTTCAGAGAGTGCATTTGGAAATTAAAACTTAATTTAAAGAGTCTCTTCGAGGATGATTTTAAGATTGACTCTTTAAAATAGAAAGTATACATATTTATAAAATTTGTTAGAGATACTCTAAATTCCATCAACTAATTAATGATATCTAGGTGTCTTTGTTTTCTTAAAATAAAATAATTTACATTGAAATCTACATTAAACAAAAAATAAAAAAATAATAATAATAATCTACATAGTAAGCCTCATTATCAAAAATTTCATTTTTTTCTGAAATTTATTTTTAGTCATACATTATCTCAATAAAATAATTTTGCACATTACTCAAAAAATTCTTACTTTTTGACCACATGTCTTTCATAAAATCACTATTAAAAAATTTATTTTACCCTTGTAATGGGGCTAAAAAGGGGCTATATGAAAATTTTGGTGAGTCAACAATTCAAACAGAACTTTTGATTTTATACGAAGTTCTAGACAATGTTTGTTTTTTCCTTTGTCATGTTAGCTTGAGTCTCAAAATTAAAGATAATTCAAACTAATAAAGAGCTTATTGAAGATTATCTTTGTGAAAAAAAAAAACCTCTAATTTTTTTCATTAAATTTCTCATTGAATTAAATTATTTTTCAACTGTTTGCCCCCACTTTCTAAAAACTCCTTGTTTTTCTAAATTCATTTTCCACTATATATTCTTCATTAAAATGATGTTGCACGTAAATCTAAACTTTTTCATCATTTTTAATCACACATTCTTAAAAAATAAAAAAACTAGTTAGGTAATTAGTGATGAAAAAACCTGGCATTTAATTTTTTTAACTATGAAAAATCTGTGACAATTATAGTGACGGACTCCATGAGCTAACTTCAAGATTTAAAATTAATTTTCAAATTATTTATACTTAAATAAATTAAATTGAAAATTTTGTCTAATATTTTTTTGAGAAATTAATTTTATTTTTAATAATAAAATTGTAGCCGGGTTTTCCGAGTATCTATGGCTTAGAAAAGCTCATGCGTACAAAACCATCATCCCATAATATGTCGTAGCATGTCAATGTATAAATCACAGGATCTAACTATGCATAGATATTTCGCTAAATCATTACTTTAGGTATTATACTACTCAAACGAAAATTTCAAGTAATATCAAACTTGGATTTTAGTAGAAAAGATTAAAAAAAACTAACCTGTACAAATGGCAAGTAACGGATTGCAATATATCTGTGAAAGCTAGCCATAGTTTCCAATATTTTGCCTTTCTCAACTTTGATAGGCTTCCCGCCCGTGTCAAGCAAAGGATTCTCAGTTAAATAATTATACATAAGCCACCTCATATCTTCATATTTTAGTGGATTTCTTAGAGATGAACCAATATGATAAATTAACCTGTGAGATGGTTGATTTGTATGCACAGCCATTGCTACAAGCATAGAATTCACCACCATATCACCAGGTATCTGCAAAATTTCAAAATCCAAATGAGCAACACCAAGAAAAATCAATAATAATTTATGAAAAGAAATAAACAGGAAGATTGATTATGCATATATATATATACTATTAGCTTACCATGTCAAGTGTTGAGTTGGGATCACCAACGAAGAATTTTAGTTTTCCTTTGCCATAAGCAACGAAGATGCTGTCAAGAGTTCTGTATTTGGAAATTCGTGAATCAATTTTATAAATTTTCTTAAGCAATGAAGTGAGGAATTTGAAAATATATAATAGTTAATATCATGCCATTTAGCTTTAGATTTGCAAACAGAAAGAAGGAAAGTTGCCAACATCCTACCTTATACCCTCTGTCCAACCAGAGAAGGGCTCTTTATAAGTACTTGTTATAATTGTTGGGCGCACAATAATGAGCTTAACGTTTTCCTCCAACTTCTCCAAAAGCATTTCCCCAATAGCCTTTGTAAACACATACGTGTTTGGCCACCCATGCAACTTTGCTCTGGTAAATATAAATTTGTAAATTTTTTCGTTGTAAGGTGCTAGGAAATGTAGAATAGAAAAAGTAATAAATTTCACAGCGCTTGAAAAAATCATATACTTGGTCACTCAACATTTGGTCCCTCAAAATTTCCCTTCACATTGATCAACATATATGGAAATTTTTTATTCATATAATTAAAAGTGTTCTTAATCAACCTGTCAGTGCCCAAATTTCTCATAGCTGATGCAATTTCTAGTTCTGTTGCATTTTGAGCTTCAAGCCCTCTTAGTCTTTCTTCCACTATCCTTTTTTCTGTGTCGATGTCTAAATAGGAGATTTTAGCTCCATCAAGTGTCTCGCCCATATGAAATGGCTTTTCTGGTATGAGACCTACACTCAAGCCTTGTACGTAAGCTGTGAAAAACGAAGACATATCCAGAAGAGAGTGTTTTATGTACATTTTTCTGTATCATTAAGTTCCACACGAGAGGGAAGATTAAGACTTTCTGCTAGTTACCCGTGGATACATGGACAAACATCTCTATTTTTGAACAGTTACTGGCAAACTTTTGGACGTGCATGGCTCCTAAAGCATTGATCCCCATTGCAACATCATATCTATGAAAACACCAAGAAATACAGATTATTTATTTTTATCCACTAATATTATAGCCATAAATGTAGAGTTAAATGCTCTACAATTTAAAAGGTCACATGCATTATCAAAAGTTTAAACAAAATTAGGAATTCGTGTGCAAAATCAACCATGTATTTGATGGGAGCAACAATTTACATCCACATTGTTATATATCTATCCACTTCTTTAAAAATATATATATTATATTTTTAACCTTACATAAATTGACTTAAATAAAAATATATCACTTCAAAGGCAACGACTAATATTTATTTTCATGAAATTCTTTAATATTCATAAACTGTCATCTTCAACTAAAGCCCAAACAGTAATGGAAGAGATATCACTAGAGCAAATACATATAAACATAGCTATATGAAGAAAAATTTGAACAAGTAAGGATTGTTGTGGATATTGATTTCTATTTTGATAGAATTTATCTCATGTCCCTAATGGGTAAGATAAAAGCTTTTCACTATTAACGTGATAAGTGAATTTTAGTTATAATTTTTGTTGACCTTTTTTATTTTTTGTAGTGGTAACATGATCCATAGATCTCGGGTCTACATAAGCCTTTTCTCTTACACTCTTGGACAAATCGTAAGTTGTGCGTGGTCTTCTTCGAAGTGAAGGAAGGCGACTATATACACTCCAACAAGAAGTCAGTCAACGTATAAGTGAAGGGGTGTGGGACTTGCTAGATATGTAAGTCACTAAGTATAAAGTGGTTGGATCTGGAAGGGTATGAAGTAAATATATTGAGGGCGAACTTATAGATTTGAGAGTCTAAAATTGCATTACCTTCAAATGGCACAATGTCTAAGCTTTTATAATAGTAGATGAGAAATTATAACCATTGGATGGAGTGACATGTGGCCTTATCATGATTGCTGAGGACTTTTCCTAGATATCACTCCATCGGTTTTAGACTGACGGTATGTGAAGAGGCAATGTCCGTCAATTGGAAGGTTGATTGTTTCGAACTTCCAATGTAGTAGAAGTGACATCTCATCTCGACCCTGGAGGGTCTGCCCACCAAGGTACCTTGGAAGAAGTGATGCATCACATCGATATGGTTCACCTCGATCAAGTGGGATGCTGATGTGGAGTGTGGGTCGATTAACTTGCTGACAGGCTGCCACGTAGAGGCGATTTGGAGCCTCGTCAGAAGAGGCGTAATAATTCTTTGAATCTATGATCGTTTCATAGAACCATATTTCATAGAACTATTGGACATATATAGCGACCAGTTTGCTCTAAAGCTAATAAATATCGGTATGTAATGTCATATTATATTTATATTAACTTAAATAAGAAAATGCACGTATTTTTACTTGTTTTTAAAAAATACTCACTCTTACAAAAAATTTCAAATTACAACGAGCCATGTGGACGTGTGAAAGATTGTCTGAGTGATGCTTATGGGGTCGTCAAGTAAAAAATTTCTAGAAATGATAAATGCAAATTTATATTTGAAAAAATCCTTATGTTAAATTATATGCACGTTATTTAATAGTTTTCTTTTCTGTTCACACATTTGATGTTCAAAGTTAAATTTAAATTTATGGGTTGACATCTTAGTATTTCAAGATTTTATTTAATTTGAAATTTTCGCTTAAGTTGTAGAATAATTATTATGGAATTATCAACCAAAAAATTTCAAAAAAAAAAAAAGAAAAGAAAAGAATTTCCTCTTAAATTACATAAAGAAGATTATATTATTATTATTATTATTATTATTATTATTATTATTATTATGATTATTATTATTATTATTATTATTATTATTATTATTATTATTTTGATAACAACTCAAGTCTATTTTTATAAAATAAAATTGAAATAGATTTTGGGGCGTTAAAATTAAGGTTCTCTCATTACAATTTCATTCCAAATTATTATTGGGATTATCTTATCTTTTCTTGATGGCTATCTTTTTTGCTTGGATTATCCAAATAAAAATTTGAGTTTTGTACTGGGACTAATTTTATCCTTGAATTTAAAGCAATAGTGAATCTGTTGGGATTATAAAAACAAGTAAAGAAATAGTGCACAATGATTGCAATATTACGAAGGAATTATGATGGGATACATATAAAAAAATGGAGTGGATGTGTAAATTTATAAAAATGATATGAATAGATATATGAAAGGATTGAATGAATTACGATGGAATAGATATATAAAAATAGTGCGGACGTATAATATTTAAATGAATGAGTTTAATAAGGACAATATTGAAATGTGATGTGGATGAAAATAATATTTTTTTTAAAAAAAAATTTTAAGTTTAATAGATTTAAAGTGAAATAGATATATAACAGTAGATGCAAATAGTGGCTATTTGATTAGATTTTATTTAATAATAAGATTCAGATAAATGCTAGTCCGTATTAAAAGATAAGGCTTGAGTATACCTTTCATCAAATTTAGTTGTTGCGGCTGAGTTAACAATAATATCTACTTCTTGCCACATCTCATCTCTCAATTTTGAGTCATAGTTACCTAAGTTCTCATAAGAAACATCACCGCAAACAGGAATAACTTTTGATAGTAGAAAAGGAATTAAGTCAGCACCGTATTTCTCCTCAAGAACTCCAAACAATTCAGTGTTGAGCACCTGAAACATATACAAGTGTCAAATAAGAAGATAAACAGTATTTTTTTTTCAATACAGGAAAATTTTATGAATTTGATCATGATAAACAAATGGTTTAATTGAAATCGTAGTTCGACTACACATTTGAAATTGAAAATGAAATTACTGTAAACTTTAGCGGAGGTGTAATGTTGCAAGTCACTTATATGAACGTAAAGTAAAGAAAATATGCAAAAGAAATATATATTCAATTTTCAACTAATAAGCATTGTGATCCTATTTTTTTTACCAGTATATACTTCACTTGTATACCTCTTCATGTAAGCGTTGTTCAGCAGATCTCTTATCCACTGCTCTAATTAGAAGAAACAATTTTTTGATTTCGGGTTGAACTCTAAGTATTTTCTCCAAGAAAACTGCATGCAATTAGAAAAGAAAATGTATTATTAGAATGTTGGATCCATCTAACCAAGTGATAGCATACTTTTGAGAGAGAGAGAGAGAGAGAGAGAGAACTTTTTGCTAAAAATCCTGTGGCTCCAGTAATGAGAATTGTCTTCCCCTCAAAATATTGAAGAATTTTACTCTCTTCCATTGTAAGAGAATGCAAAAGAACTGTAACAACTCGATTTTAATCACTAATACAACGCATAACAATGTTCAGATGATGGTATATATATAGGCATGTGGATACTCAAGGTTTTACTTTGTGTCCTCCCCAACAATATGCCATTGGGTGAAGTGTCACTTTCTTTGTAGCATGATTATTTGTGGTGTGCAGAATAACGATGGTTAGTGGGGCCTCCTTATGTGAGGTGGCTGTCACCCAAACTGTGCTGGAAATTGTACCTACAACATGGTTGTAAAATTCATTACATTTATGGTATGTATCTTTATGCATACTTTGTTAAGCGATCCTCTAAAATATGGTAAAAAGAATTCATTTTTAAACTATTATTATAAAACCTGATTTTTATTTTAATTCCTGTGGTACGAAGCTAAGGAATTTCATGTTTGACAATTAGAATATGTTTGATTGTCAATATTTTTCATGAAAATGTATTTTTTCTATCCAAATTCCTACTTTTGTGCTGTTAGACTAACATTGTTTTCATGAAAGATATTTTTATACTTTTGGTCACGTGATTATATTTTTCTCAAATCCAGGAAAATATTTTCTTTAAAGAGAGTAGGATTTTATTTTCCATGGAATTCACTCTCTTTTTCTTTCTCTCTCATCTACAACTCTCCCTCATCTACCCACTAATAAAAACTAGGCCAGTATAATTTTTTTAGGTTGAAAATTAAATTAATCAAATACATTTAATTGACAATTTTCATGTAAATAAGTTCTAGACAATTGAATTACCTAATTTTTTTTTCTTTTCATGCATATTCCATGTTTGCAATCAAACGCACTCTTATTTTTCATTATTTATAGAAAGATTAACGGGGAAACCCTAGGTGGAGATACAAGGCTAATAGCATATGAATTTCATTTCAATAAAAAAAATTTAAAAAAAATCCAATTTGAACGTCACGAAGGACTCATTGGCCATTTCTTGGGCTATACTTCTCTTATCACCGTTAGCCTTCCTTTTGTTATCCTTTGAGTAGCTCTGTTAATCATTTGTTCATCTAATCACTACCGAAATTGAAATCATGTTTAAAAATTGAGATTTAAACTTTATTGAGCCCAAATGCTTCCGCAAATAGTAGTCTAATTCCGATATCATCCAAATGCTACCAAATTTGGTTTATGCAAAGATCAAATTCAGATTACAGGGGTGTTTGGGAGTATTTTTATCCCAAAAAATTGATTTTTGACCATTATTCATTATTCCAACCGTAAAGTTTGACTTATTGTCTCACAGGTAACATCCACTTTTCTCCTACTAGTCAAAAAATCAATTCTCAAAATTGCTCCCAAACGGGGCCTACATATCGATTCAGAAATTAACTATTTGATGATTTATAATGCAATATCGATTCCGATACTTGTCCAAAAGTATTAGAATTTTACTATAATAAGATAAATATTTCGATTTTTATTGAGTAAATAATTGAGTTCTATTTATTCTATAAAAGGGAATTGTATTATTTTGAGTATGTGTATAAGTTTCACAAATTAGTGAATGAAATATAAAATAAAATGATTACCACGGAAGACATTTATATTTTGATCAAAAAATCAACTGTCTATAATCGTAGAATAAGCGATTGGTGTTCTAATCTATTAAGGGCTATAATTGTTGCTTATCTACCAATTGTGATATGTACTATATTTGGTATATCTAGTATGCATTTGAAGAGAACCATTTCTTGTGAGAGTTAACTTCAAATGCATGATTGTACTAGAGAGAAGTAATTTTCACTTCGATTGCTTTATGGATTGAGTGAAGCTACACGTAAAAGGACCTGTTTCAGTGAAGCTACATGTACAAGTCCTATCAGGCAAGAAACAAGTGAGGGTAGGCCCCACAATTTTTTTTTTAAATACATGTGGGGCCACCGATGAGAGGCCAGAAAGGTCCCCTATGGAAATGCACCTATACGTGCAACTTTTTTTCCTTATGGATTAATAGTTGTTAATCACGATTCTAGAATTGTTGATGTACCAATGAGTGAGATTTAATTATCGGTCAAATATACCTCGATATGTTGGGAATCGAAAATGAGCGAAGTAGTAGACATTTATTTGAGCTCGAAATCCGTTGCCTGGATTAAAGGATAATAGAATTCGATTAAATATTTTCTTCTGATAATGTTTTAATCTGAGTACAGACTGCTCTGGAATAGGTTAATCGCTGGAGACAAGAACGAGTGAATCGAGTTTAGTATTTGGGGATGGTAAATTTGTTATTATGATTTGATCACAATGAAGTATTGAAGAAAATGTTAGTTTAAGTGAAAAATAATTTGTAGTGGTAAATTATCAATTTAGTAAAGCACTTACACTTGATATGTCGCAAGGGTAATGAATTAGAATAGTAATCAAGAGGATTTCATTGCAGGGAATTGAAATACAATTGCTCCTGTGATTTTATATATTTTGAGACACTGCAACAAAACGGACTTTTTGCGGCTTGCAATTAATTGCAGAGAATTGAAATAAAATTGTTCTTGTGATTTTATATATTTTGAGACATTACAACAAAAAGGACTTTTTGATGTGCAAAACACCCGCACGCCGTATAAAGCAATGCCGTCCACATTGTACGCCGTAAATGTGAATTTTTACTTTTAATGGCGTGCAAGCTAGCATGATAAACAATATTAAACTAATTAATTATTCTAGACTTAGGTGAAAAAATTAACCCAACGTTTATCATATAAATAAAATGTACCAACCAATGTAACAAATGCTTTCCATTCCCTCAACCAACGTATATAAATTCAACAAATGACGAGCTTGATTGATAACTAATGGATTCTCAACCAATAGTCATAAATTCAACCAACACTAATAAATTATTTTACAAACAAAAGAATGTTTTCCAACCACATGAGAGCTTGATTGATAACGATTGGCTTCTTTCTCTAAATATTTCAAGACAAGTATGAAGAATAAATCAGCAACTTAACCACTCAAGGAACTGACTTCCAACTAGGGAATTGCTCAAAGCCTTGCTGCAATGGTGTGCTCAAATTGAGATTAATTTAAAGGCTTAATTTCAAATAATTAGAAGGGCTAATTGATTGGTCAAGTTCTTGCTACTTATTATAACATCTGATTTACAATGCATTTCTCTTGTAACTTAGATTACACATAATATAATAGCAGCTGAGGTAAACACGGGCTTGAAAAGTATATTGTGAGGCTTTGAAAATATTTACTATTTTTCATTTTAATTGGGTCTCCCGCTCCAGCGGGATAAAAAAAGGTGTCAACCTAAATCTAGATTGTGAGTTCATATAAGCATGTTCAGTTAAAAGTAAGTCAAATTTACTTTAAGTAACTTTTAGCTTTCGAACATGTTTTAATTATTTTCTTCCTATAAGTTAAAAAAGGTACTTAATTAGCAGTAGTAGGTTACAGTTCCAAAATATTATTAATATGAAAATATACCTGTTTACTTACAAGTGGAGTGTTTAATATTTAGCCAAACGAATAATCCTAGCTGATTATATTTAAGGACGAGCTAGGAGTTCTTTACTAATAACAGAGGGAGTGTCTCTCTTTATATATATCATCAAAATAAGCTTTACTAAACTGGAGAAAACAAAAATAAAAAATCAGGTGGGCTGGTCACTCTTCAATGAAATGGTCTTGGGATGGTCCCAAACATGGAATTCAAGTGAGTCCGCTGTAGAACAGTGAAATAATAAATATAACCAATCAATATATATATAATAAATCACAAGTAACCATCAAATGAAGTTTCAAGACCATCAGAAACTACAGAATTCAGTAAACATACACAGCATCATAGCACAATTGCCGTCCAATAAAAATGTGGACAAGGAACTATGTACAGGAAATCATGAACATTAGATGGCAGAATTAATTTACATAAACAATAGATTGCTGAATTTTTTTCCCAGATAGGCTCTCAGTTTTCTCAGACAGATTATCAACAGTCTCTTCTTCTGCTGAATCTTGAATCGCGACCTTCTTCTTTATGGGTCGAAAGGAGCAATCTGCAATAACAAACAATTGATCTGAGTCCTTAGAATATTGAAATTTCATGGGGATAAAGGGATCTGTAGTTTTAACTACTATTCCAAGAACCTTTCTAGGAAAAATCAGTTTCTTCAGAAAACTGAACTGACAAGAAATCAAGCAAATCAAAGTGTCCAATACCTCTTTTACTTCACTTTATTGCAATCACTTATAAACTTTTGGATCCAAAAGAATCAAAGAAATGATATTATTTTCACTTCGCAACTTACATAATTTTATTCACACCATTTTCGTATTCTGGTGCTGCTTAACACACCTAGCACACAGAAGAATATTTTCGTACCCGTACGTATAAGGTTAATCACTTTATTCATTAATATACAAAAACATATACAATCAATACAGATAGCAAGCATATGAAACCCTCCACATTACGAACACAAATCTTGATAAGTATCGGCAGTAATTTACAAATAATGTCATTATAATACCCACCCTGAGTAAAAGAAATACAATTATACAAGTTCTAGTGTAAATAATCACAAGAAACAATGAGAAAGTTGCCGTACAACATCATAAAACTATAAGATGAGATAGAAACTTATATCCCCTACCTCCTCCTTAACCTCCTTAACTTCGTTTTGATTTTCCTCATGAGCCTATTAGGAATCCACTTAACATGCGCAGCGGAAATTAAAATAATTTTTTATTCCCATCAAGAATTGCCTTTGTGTTTAAATAGAAATTGTGATAAGATTATATCTTTTTCAGATCTGCAAACTTCTTTGCTATTCTTTTCATTCCAATAATCTTGATTCGCCACCCACAGCTGTCCAATTGTCCAGCCTCCAACGGTGATCCACACAGAGAACAAGATTGCAGTTACCAAGGTTTTCTTCTCTTGTGCTAGCAAGAATAATTATGAGAAAAACCACATGGATTGAAAACTCTTGTCATGTATTTATATAAATCCAAACGGGCCTGGTCTGGTCCGGTCCAATATTTAATTAATCCATTTAATTAAATCCGATCCGTGAATTAATTAATCCAATTAATTAATGCGGGCCTATAAATAACTAACCCAATTAATTAATTTATCTAACAATTGTTAAATTAATTAATTGACAAATTGCAATCTTCCAATTCTCTTTTGTGTGTGACCCATCAGGTTCCCAATCACGATACCTAACGATGTGAAATATTATTTTGATCTAATCAAAATTGATAAATTAAAACACCCTTTTAATTTATCACCAATCATACTTGCCGTCCCAGATTGACATCTAGCAATGTGTTAGGGCAATACATATAACGAGAAATGTCACGTGGTATGACAAAACCAAACTCGTTCGTTTACCGTAAAATTATGATCCCTTCATCAATATGATCCGATCAATTACGAGATATGAAAATATGTCAATCTCGATTATCAATCATATCTTTCACTTCACTATTAAGTCAATATAAGTCGAAAACTTATTTTCGACTTATGAGTATACCTTGGTCAAGGATTTCATCATCGACTTAATTGAATGAAACGTAGATCATAATCTTCTACTATCTAAGAGTGACGAATCATTTGTTGATCAATCACAACCCTTATATGATTCTTGACGTACCTGAATGATGTCGTATTAGTGGTCCTTTGCAGAGCAACATCCAACATCGTCAAAGTATGACTGTCCTCGTATAAGGTACCATGAAGACCTCAAGTCAAAGGACCAATTCCATTACCGAACATTAGAGATTAACCACTGACACTCAGATAGTTATCCATGTGAAATCTCTCGGTGGGTCTCCAATATTTTGTTCTATAACAAAACATCCACGTGTTCATTTAAGTGTTATCACACTTTAGTTTGTGAGATCAGCTACTTACTTCATAAGCAAGAAATGTCACATGTGATGGTCTATCCGTAATAATGATATCCGTATCTCGTTATTAATTATGACCACAGACGATTTAAGATTCAATCAAATATAATTTGTATCTCACAATCACAACTCCTTGTAATTAAGAAATTAAGAAGATTTGGATCTACGGACTCTATTATTTATTTAATTAGCTATTAATTAAATAATAGATCTGCCATTAAATTGCATTAATTATATATCAAAAGTACTTATATCCAAAGTTGATTGGACCTAGAGCATAACACTTACAGAGCCATGGTTGTACTTAGATCTGCAACATATATAAAAAACGCAAATCAAATTCAAAATCCCACAATAAAACATTATCAGAAGAATTTAATGCTGTTAAAAATCGAAGCCCAATCGCAAAGTAATATATGGATAGATACAAAAAAAATATTTCGATAATATGAGTATTTCTTTTAGATTTATAGATTCAGAAGCAAAAACCTAGAAAATGGAATGGATTGAATAGAATAGAAATTATGTTGACGAAAAATGGGATATTCTGATTATTTCGCTGTTCTGCGGGGGACTCGCTCGATATATATAATAAATCACAAATAACCAACCTGTTAATTTGTAAATCACCAATCAATCCATAAATGACCTAAAAGCTTAGGAAAAAAATAGAGAAGAGAGGGCTCACAAGTCACATGCGACAGCGGCACTCAAGCGGATACACGGTGGTGGAGACCCGGACAAATGGACGGCAGCGACTGGAGGTGAGAAAGCAGAACTGGGTTTTGAAAAAAAAAAAGCGAGATAAAAGAGAGGTAGACCACGGGATTTTGGAATTCAATTAGGGCAACATTCAATCAAGGATTAGTGGGCTCAAAGCTGGTGGCCGATTGAACAATTGTGGCCAATTGAAGGTGGTAATTTGGGAGAGAGCGGCGCGAAGACAGGAACGAAGACTCCAGCCTTGTTTGGTAAAAGATGGAAAACAATTGGGGATGAAACGAAATAAGGAAAAGAAAAGCGGGAGATAAGGGCATTTACGGCGTGCGAAACGAAATAAGGTAAAGAAAAGCGGGAAAAAAGGGCATTTACGACATGCATAATAAGTTCACTTTTTTAATAAATACGGCATGCCTTAAAAGAACGTCGTAAATACTCTCATTTTACAACGTGCACAAATGCACGTCGTAAATGCGTCAAATTATTGATTTTTTACGGCATACATATAGCGCATGTCGTAAATAGTCTTTTTTCATGGCATGTCGTAAATACACGGCGTAAATTCATGCCTTAAAAACCCACTTTTGTCAATTTGTAGCTCGATTTATGAAAATCTAATTAGATCCTAATAGTAGCTCTAAGAAGTTTGAGGGCTTAATTGTGCATATAATTAAAGCTTAAAGTTGAACATTACTTGGTCAAAGTTTCAGAGAAGTTAGGTGATTGCGCAGATGGCCAAACTCAAAATTTTAATTAAGTTCTTGTGTGAGAGTTAAAAGTGATTTTTTTAGGATCATGATTAAAAAGTAGTAAAAAATTGTGGAAACATGAAAAATGCTTCTTCTTCTTTTTATATTATTTTAAAGAATGTTTGATTGAAAATGAGTGCGAAGAAACTTTCACAAAAACACTAAATAAAAGTTAAAATTCATTTTGGACCCCAAAGCTAAGTTTGACCAAACACTTGAAAGGGTTTTAGCGAACTTAAAACTCAGGTTTTGTTTTCCTAGATACTAGAATGACCTAAGAGTCTGTTTGATTGCAAGAATGAAATTTGGGTGGAAAGAAAATGAATTTCAGAAAAATTGAATTGTCTAGAACTTGTTTCATTGGGAATTGTCAATTAAATATGGTTGATTGTTATAATTTTTTACCAGAAAAATGTTGAAATTTTGGATCTTTTGGTGTTCGTTCGGCTTTGTTTTTTATGAAAATTGTCAATTAAATGGATAGATTTTTTTACAATTTTGGATAAAATTTGTTTCCATTGCCAAAAAATAAAAAATAAAAAATAAAAAAAATAAAAATAGAAAAAATGAAAAAAAAAAAAAAAAAAACTTGTAAAATCCAATTCTCACCAAAACCAAAGGAAATTCCTTAAAAACCAAGAAAATGGCATCACGTGAGGGAGAAGTGGAAAAGTAATTTCATGGAAAATGGAGGTATCAAACAGGCCCTAAGACTTTTTGGACGAGTTATTAGACCCGTTAAAGTCTATTTAAAAATTTAATGACTTGTTTTCAGTGCAATTTTCCAATCTCTAAAAACTAACAAATCTTGGGTTTTTGAGTAGGTATTTGTCAAGGATTCTTGATTAGAATAAAGATTCAAGGATTGAAGCAATTCAAAAAGATCTAATTGCTGATCCTAAGCTAGAATTCAGGTTCTTCAACCCGGTGAAATTAATCGCTAGTCATATATTCAGCTATAAACACTTATATGATTAATTCGATTTGTAAAATGTAGTAAACTCGAAAAGATTCTTATTCCAAATTAAAGAAAACGAGACTAAATTTTTAACAATATCCATGAGACAATTTCTGATGAAAGAGGTTTAGGAAGTGATTTCATCGAAGACGTTGAATTTTTCACTATATAATGATTTTTTTAGCTGACGGGATCATGTCACGATAAATTCTAGAATGCTTCATTTGTCAATATTGAAGTTTTGTCTTGTTGACACGTCCGGTTATTAGGGTTATTCTTGGGGGATGTCCAGGGCCCCATTAATAAACTAGTACTGGTCGGGACCAATGATTAAGTCAATTTCAAGAAAATAGAACCACAAATGTCAAGATATACGTCTCTTATTACTAGACACACATTGCCTTGCACTGAAATTAATATTTTGTAACAACTAACAATGACCAAATTTGAAATTGTGAAGTCGTTTTCAATTCTGTGTCATCTTGAGCAAAATAACATACTATTATTTTTTAGTAATGCTATGCAGCCCCAATGGACTTGTAACTCCCATGACATTCGATAATAGGTTGAATGAAAGGTGAATTTAAATAACTCAATTTTACTTATCATTTAATATCACATTACTGCCACCTAGATTGAGATTATAACTACAGTGGAACTAAATAACATTATTCATTATTTTTCCATTTAAAATGATTAGAATTTGTGTTGGTGGGTGCGGTGAGAGTTATTTCCGTAGATAAAGTTATTATTGGTAGGTTTTGGTGGCCACTAGGGGTACCACTTCGTTCAATAGAGTGCTACATAAGTCCCTTTCCCATTTTACTGCTATTAATTGAGAAGTTGCCATGAGGTGTACAATTAATTCCTTAATTAACATGAGACTTGAGACGAAAAAAAAAAAAAAATCATTAGAGATCGAGATCGGCAAAATTTGCGATTTGTGAATTTTTTTTTACATTCATATTCAAATTAATTATGTTACATAAACTTGTGACAAATTTTCTTACAAAACTTGCGATAGAAGTCATTATATATTCATGTCAAAACTAACCTTTGTTCGAGCCACATTATTTTCATAAAAATACATTTTGGAATAGTGTATTGATGGGAATTGTGTGGTTAAAAAATAAAAAAAAAAGTTTGGAATTTGCGTGTTATATTATTTTATTAAAAATGTGTGATTGAAATTATGTCAAATCGCTATTCAAAAATATATTTATTTTGAATGAATGTGGGTAAAACTTCACGATATATAAAATATTTTATGGAAACAATCAAGAGGATATGGTTGAGGACTGGGTGGTTGGATAAAGGTGCACTTCTTTTATGAATCATAAATATACACTAATTCGGGTAGCAAGATTTTGAAAACGAAAGTAAGAAATGAAAATGACAAGTAAGAAAAGACTTTTTGAAAATTTTCTACGTAGATAACAATTAGGGTGGCAATTAATAAAATTAATTAAAAGTCCTGCTATGCAATTGTAGTAAGAATAAGAAAAAGTTTTGTAGATTTTGTAGTAAAAAAAAGTCTACATGTAGTAAATTCTGTTTGAAAAATATGTGGCAAAAAATTCTTATTTATTTATTTATGGTGAAGTTTTCTACGTAGAAGGAAAAATCTTTGTGAAAATTTGAAAAAGTCTTTAGTGAAGAAAAGTGTTGGAAAAATCTACCAAAAAGTCAACTAAGATAACAAAATCTAAAAAGAAAATTTTTTCTTTTAGAAATGAAATCTTACTATTTTTATCTTTATTTTCTCTTATAATTTTTATGTCTTTTTGCATTTTCTTACAAATTTCAGAATCTTTTATCAAGAAACTTCAACACTGAGAGATAGAAGGCTCAATGATTTGCTTCTTGATCTGTAAAGAGGAGTCACCTCTATTTCTATCTAATGCGGATAATATGTGACTTTCTATAACAATTATTCTACCAATTTCTTAATTTTCAAAACAAATATCAATAAATTCTTTAGAACTTTCTACTGAACAACAAAGCAAAGTAAATGATATATAATTGTCTAATGGCATAAAATATTAAAACTAAAGATCAATATGTTTGTAATGGCCTTAGAGTACTTTACCATTCAGCAAATTAATTTCTTCAATTTTTTTTTAACTGTCTCTTAACTTTTTTATTGACCTTCTAAGAAAGGCCTAAGACTATAAAAAAAAAATTAAAAAAAAAATAATAATAATAATAAATAAATAAATTCATCATATTTAAAGAGGCTTAAACACACTCCCAAAATTGGGATATAAAACAACCAGTTTAACTCAGATGATTACTTTATCTTTTTAATCATGGAATTCAGAATAAAGAGGTTAAGAGAGTTATAATATAGAAAAGACAAAAACATAATTTTTTCTAAATAAATTAATTGCTTCCTTAGCCCATGTTTGAGCCACATTATAGGGAGAAAAATGTATTATTTATGTCAAATCAATAGAAAATGTATAGTTAAAAAATAAGGAAAAATTTTAGATTTACGTATAATATTATTTTATTGAAGAATGTGTTCTTGAAATGATGTCAAATCACCGTTAAAGAATGTATTTTTTTGAAAATAGTGTGGCTCAAACAAGTCCTTGGTGTTTTCTCTGTTAGGCCTTGCTTAAAAAAATAAATAAAGTAGACGAAAATTATAAACAAGAGAATGTGTGAAAAGGAATTACTTTAATTCCAAAGTCTTTGAATTTACTAAAATACCTTTGAATTTACAAGAATTATGGAGAGACTTTTTTAGTACAAGTGTGAGATAATTGACTACTATTCTTTTCCTTCACGTTTTTTCATCTTTCTATCTTTATCTTTTCTTCATTCTCAATTATTGTACCTATCTGTTCATCATTTCAATGTAAGCTTCTTCTAACTTTGAACATTGTCTTTTTCATCGGGTATGTATTCTTCCTTTTCTTCTGTATTTGATTGGATTTCTGTAAATTCTCCATTAATTTCTTGAAACACCAAGAGATATAAATTCTCTTGCTCAATATTTGGTATTAGAATTTTTTGTGTGTTGATTTTTATAGCGAGATGCTCTTGGCAGAAAATAACTCCATTATTCCACTTTGCTACTAGTCTGAAATCATTATTTTGAACTTCCATCATTGCTACGGCTTCTAATATCCATCTTTCATAATCAATCAGTCTTTTATTTTAGGCCCTATTTGAGTCCGTTTATTTCCTCATTAAAATAAAAAATATGATTGTTGTTCATCATATTAAATCATCATATTTGACTTTTTATCTCTTGTGTGGAGCCTATAAACGACTATATTTTTCATTCTCATTTTTACAATAATGTGGCTCAAACGAGGACGTAGTATTAGTCTTTGAATAGGCCCTGAATCCTTTGGTTCCTTCATATATTAAATATGATGATAGGTTAGAATTACAATACCATTGTTAACAAAAGGGGTTTGGAAATAAACTGAATCATCAAGGGATATTTTTTAACTAATCAAGAATCTGTTTAAACTTTGGTGGAAAAAATCTGAAAGATTTATTTAATATATATACAGTATCTATCATACTAAACTGTAAAGCTGGATAAAAAAAAAATGCTCTTCTTCCTCAAAAATTGTATAATCAAAGGAAATT